AGTTTTTTTTATGTAATGTGTAGCAGGCTGAACTGTCGAGACATATAGTTTCAATTGACTGAACTGAATGTGTAGATTTAGTATTTTTGGGAAAACATGTGTATGTCCATTTTAGGATGAGTGCAGTTTATGTTCATTTTCGAAAGATAAGTTTTATTGTGTAGTACATAGCGATTCAAACATGTTTTGGACAATAACGGTAGTGACGTGTCAAATGTCGATGATGCTTGATGTAAGCGAACGGTTTTTCAAGTAATCAGATATGTACATTATTGGCTTTCATGTTTACATGTATTTGTATGTTTAATTTAGTGTGTCGTCATCTTCGAAACTTGTGTGTCCAACTAATCGGCCCGAATTGGTGTACTTTAGTGCACGTAGGCCATACTGTCAAGATGATCATTGAAAAATTGTCAAGAGATGCATTTCAACTGTCTAGATTGAATGCTATGTATTGTTTTCAGAATGTCGCTAAATGGGGTTTGTAACGAATTAAATGTGGAATGATATTAACACGAACATGATAATAATACATAAGCTATGAATGTTGTTGCGTTTTTTTGTATCGCAAGTGTACGATATTGTAACAAGTAATATAGTGGACATTTGAGTCCGGATTATCGTTCCCACAAGGACTATACTTTAGTCTTAACCTACTTTTCCTAACTCCTATTTGATAAAAGACAAACAGATAAAGGATTGTGATAGTTGTGAATATTGATTTTCTAAAATGAACTAAATGCCTAAAACAAATGAAAATTATGATGAAATAACAAACACAAATGAATTAAAGATTCATATATGTAAGATATATTAGGGCAAAATAACTTCATCTAATAATCACCTTAGTTCCCAATTCAAGATTCTAGTCTAATATAGCGTTCGGTCGAATTCTCCTACGGCATTCAATTTACCCCTCTCGAGTTCTCATTGAGCCTATTTAACTAATTCAATTTCATATCTCTATGCGGATTACCCTTAGTTAAACGAGTTATGGTACTAGGAATTCCTATAACGACCGCAGTATAGGTATATGTATCTCTACACTTTATACTTCGTTACCAGATTTTATTACACATTCTAAATCTCAAACTCACCTCTCGATTCGTAAGAAGCTCAATGGATCATCAAATTATTGATCAAGTAATTCAATGCATTGTAATCATTATAAAATCAACACATTAAAGAATGAAACACAGAATTCTTGAATTAGAGAACTAAGGGTCTCGATAGATTACGTTATTTTCCCTAATAAGGAATTTAGCTAAACATGATGAAAAATATGAAATAAATAAACATATTCGAATACATCACCGGATTTAATTGATAGAAAAGATGGAAAAGAATCAGCTCTTGCACCAAGATCTTCTTCCGCTTCCAATCCTTAATTTGAACTCGAATCCTTGATGTATTTATTCTCGTGAATTCCTCTTCGATCTTGTGTTTTTCTCTCAATTTTACAAAGTGTGGAACCCTAATTTCAATATGTGGGAACCCCCTAATACATGCCTTCTTAGGTTTATTTATACTTTCCTACACGTTCTTGGCCAATTTGAAGTCTTTTTGTGGGGTTTTCGAGGCCCAAAGAATAAAAACCTAAAATCTGTGGCGGCACGCAGTGCCTGGGGGCTATGGGGCAGCACCTAGGCACTGCTTTTCTGTTAAAAATTCTGTTTGTAGCGCCTGGGCGCTAAGTTGTTCACTTTGCGTCTGTTTCAGTAGTTTTGTCATAACTTTCTCTCCCGATATCCGATTGAGGTGATTCAAGATGCGTTGGAAAGCTAAATCAAAGGGATACAACTTTTCTTCAGAAATTGTCTTCAAATTCGATCGTTTACTATGTCAAATATGGAACAAAATATGAGTCTAAAAATCGATGTATAACTATTTCAATCCTAAATTGATGTGTGATCATATTTTAACGATATTTTATCCCTTTGACGTCTTTCTTTATCCAATTGATGCCTAGTACTCTCGAATCTTTATCGTGAGGTTCTACACAACTTTTGAGCATTTGCACTTCAGTCCCCAAACTTTGGATCTTGCCTCTTTTTCGTCAATTTTACATTCATTTCTCCAATTTTTCATCATCCATCGAGTTTCACCTAATAACGCATTATATCATAAATTAGGCTATAATCTCATTAAAAGAACGACAAAATGTCATAATTGGAAACCCGAATAAGTGTATAAAATGCACTTATCATGACCCATAAATTGTGTGGTGTGTGACTGTAACCTTACTTAATTTGTGATATAGTATTTGAGTTTGAACCATAAATTATGTGAAATGTGATAATGACATGTTTAATTTAAATTATAGGTTACAACGTGACCACTTGATTTTTGAAACCTTTTGCAAGTTTCTTAATTTTGAAATTGTATTCTTAAATATTTGTAGTTATAAATCTCCCTTAATGATTCCACAAAGAAAAAGAGAATGACAAATTTGGCCCAAAGGCTACACTGTGGAGATATTGAGCTTGACCTTTATGTAATCACTTATAAGTGATCATAAGTGTACAAAATATGGATCGAATTGTCTCATTTCCATTTTTTCAGAACAAACTTAGCCCATCTTTGTAAAGGCGGCATGCACAGGGTCTCAGCATTGTAGGGACACCAAATTTTTTGTTTTGTTATATATAATAAGTTTAAAATTTAAATTTTTTATTATTATGTTAGCTAAAGAGCACAATATTTATGAAAAAATGGCTCCATTTAAAAATGTCACACAAGACACTCAAAATCTTAAGGTCGGCCCTGCCGTTCAATAGATATTAAAATTAGATTTTTAATAGATTTTGATAAAGATGAAATGTGTAGTTGAAATGTTGTGGGTCCTATGAAATATATGGTTAAAATTAAGTGTTGATTTTGACTTAAATTAAAATATAGATTTGCATTCCTACCAAACAGAGGCATGGAAGACAAACAAACAATCATGAATCGTCCTACTAGTTTTCTAATACATATAATTAGCCCGGTTAGGTACGGGTTCTTTAAATCTCATTTTTTTCTCAGATTTATTTTCAATCATAAATCCTTTCAATAAGATAATTTTACATATAGATCCATATGTTTTTTTATTTTTATTTTTAACCACACATTTTTCAAATACAAAATCTATTCTAAAATAAATTATATCAAACAGACGCTTAATTCCCATCTTGTTTCAAGTACTCTAATTTGAGCGCCATTTGAATGTAACTAACAAATAATTTATATAAAAAAAAGGCCAAGATCGCTAATATAGCTTATTTTTGAAGAATAATGCCATTTAACTTTATTGGGGGTTTCAACCCCAATTTAGGTGGCATTAATGGATATTAAATGATAGGTGAAATTAATGACTTATTTAATTCCACATTTTATTTAGCATATCATATAGCGTCACCTAGATTGAGTTGTAACCTTAGTGGGGTTAAATAACATTACTCATTTTTGAAGGGTAATTATATTCACACCAATTTTTATTTCTCATACCATATTTTAATTACACAGAGTTCTTAATCATTGCACATTATATCACTTATATCCCTGACGATTTTTCATGTCATTCTTATTCTCAAATATTTCATTAGTTAAAATATTTTATATTTTATAATAGGTCTATGTTCCAAAGTTTGTTGAAATGATGCAAAACAACTCATCTGTAATTAAAATGCGACGTATTGCAATATAAACCCACCCCCCCACCCCCCAAAAAAAATTTGAATGAAGAGATTCCAAATGTTGGCCCAATTAGACCCAAAATGAAGTGTCTTTTGAAAAATTTATGAGAAGTATTTTGAAAATAAAAAATACTAGTTAAAATTAAGTTTCACTTTTTTATAAAAGTGATGTGTGTCACACGATGTCACTTTTTAAAGTTAAGTATCACTTTTAATTATAAGTTGTGTATCACTTTTTAAAACGAGTAACAAATGCTAAAATGTGTCAAAAATTTTAAAAAGTGACAAAATACCAATTTAAAATTGGAATCGGTTCAATAATGTAATAGAAACAATAATAATAAAAAAAAAAGACACAACCATGTCCATCTTCTTTCTCCATTCACTGCCAAATATCTTTAAATCATTTCACCGGTAAAACACCAATCAAAACGTCAAATTTTTTTAAATCAATTCATCACCACTATCATCTATTAACTCAATCATCGATACAACTGTTGTTCCTCCACTTTCTCCGTCGTTATTACTACCACCACTAGCTAACCCAAGCCTAAGTACAAAAAACTACACACATAAAACAAAAGAAATACAAACTCAAACATGAACATGAACATGAACATATTCAAAAAAGTGACATTGTATATCATGTTGTGCAAATTTAAGATAACTCCTGGTGAATGTAAAAGGAAATAATGGGTTAAAAACTTGAAAATGTAATTAACTTCCCTCAACAGGTATACCTAACGTGACATGATAAATTTTACTTGAAAAACTTGCTTATAATTTTTGGCAGATAGAAAAAGTGATTTTTTACTGCAATTCCAGAAGAATAATAATATTAAAATTTCTAAAAAATATTCTTGCAAAAGGGAAAAGGAACAAAAAGAAAAGGACACTTCACTTGTGCTCAAGAATCTTTGATATTCGTCTAGCATCCAAGCACGTTATGTATTTTTGTACAGATTGCACATTTTCTGCTCCTGGAAAATAATAACAGAAAGTGGATGTTCTATCATTTAAAGAGATGACCAATAAGAACCAGGATATGATACAATAGGCTCTTTGATTACTCTATGCTAGTGCAGAAAGCTAAAATTATAAAATCGAGACACCCACCAACGTCGGAGCCATTGTTGCCACATCGATTTAAGCACCATATGCCATGTCTCCAGAAAGTATGAAAGCATGTGCCGGGTCATGAAGCTGGTCATCCTCCTCAAAAGCCAGAAACCATTCTGTATTTAATGAAGATGAGGACGAGGATGTACACCGATCGATTATTCAACTGAGGAACAACAATTAGTTTCTGAGATCCCATCAACGAATATGGTTGCAGCTGCAGAATTTGCAAAGCATGTTATAACAACAAATTCTAAAGAGGAGAGCCTCCTATGGAACAAAAAGTTTTTCTTCTAGGATTGAGGATGTTGAATTACGATTTTGGGGGTTTGGGACTTTTAGGACGTATTGATTATGCGTTAAATGGTTTAATTAGTTTTAACAGGGTATTATTCAATTTAGCATCTGTTTGTCCGCCATTAATCCAAAAAATTGTTTGCTACAGTAAGATTCTCCACCACACATTCACCCAATAAAATATTCTACACGCAAACCAATAAAATTACTTTAATTTTCAACCACATTCTCCAAAAAATATTATTCATTAAACTAATTTTCTCCCAATAATGGGAGACAATCAAGCTCTTAGTTAGTTGATTAGGGCATTGGGCCTAATTTACCCAAAGAACAACTCAATTGTGTGACTTTTCAATGAGGCCCATAATCGTTGATGAATTAGTCCTGGGCCTTGTCCTTGAAAAAAAAAAAGAAAAAGGGAGTATACCGAGCTTTTCCACAGCTACACATTTGGGCATTTTGGGGTACAAATCTCCGGTTCTTAAAACATCGAAGAACAAATTTCGTCATTTTGCTTACAGATCAAATCCCCAATCAACTGCGAACAGGTAAAATCACTACGAATTTATATTTTTCGGCTTTTGCATATGTCAAATTCGGATTTCGAAGAGAAATTTATTTCATTTTTATACCTAAATTTCCTCAGATTCTTATATGTAAAAGATCTAGGGTTTTAAATTCTAATACGTACTAGCTTAACAAAAATAATTCACTTTGAATCTGAATCTATGAACAACAAAATATTATCTCACGGCTTAATATGATTTTCTTGGGATTTTAATTTAGTTACTCCACTTGAATCGAATTTCCAGCTGAAATTTTAGAAAAATTGCATTTTTTAACGATCAAATCTAACTTGTACACTTCTTCAGCATAAAGAGATGGGGTTTATAATGGAGTTTGCGGAAAATTTGATACTCCGGATGATGGAGGATCCTAAGGAGAGGGATATGAAGTTTAGGGAGCATTTGTACGATTTGAAGGACAGATGCCAGAAGACCAAGGAAATGTGGAGCCTGCCTCTGCGTCCCTACGGCTTCTGGAATTTTGATCGCCATAATGCACAAATTTTTTCCCTAAGAGTCTAGTCAGTTCAAGGAGGACGCCGAGACCCCTATGATGACCTCCTCCAGGACCCTTACATAGATACTAGCGCAGCCTCTTCCTCCTCTAAGTAATTGGTGAGTTTCTTCCTATTTACGACGCTGCCCAATTGTAAGTTTGTGCATATTTGTTTTGTGAATTTGTAATTTTAAGGAGTTGAAGGACTATTTTTCACCATTTTGGATTTCTTGAATAATATGGCATTGGCTGAATACATGCATATACAGACGCATACATACTGAGCACATATTCATGCAAATATAATATTGTGCTCTCACGTTGCTGTGATATTATGTTTTGTTGTAGACACTAAGTTATTCTCTATTATATGTTTGACAGGTTTTTTTTTTCCTTTCCATAGGAAAAAAATGCAAAAATTAATTGACTTTCAAAACTCTTCCAGCTATACTTGACAATAGAGTATTGAGTCGTTAAAGACAAACTGCATAGTATTTATACAGCGAACGTATTAGAAATGAGAAATTTCAGATAGATACACGTTCATACTAGAATAGGTAAAATGAGAAATGATGATATCCATTCATAAAAAGAGTGACGTCAATGGAGCCTAAATGAAGAATGACTTAGATGGTTGGGTGCTTATTTTGCGACTTGGATAAAAATAAATTCACTAGAACGATATTAGTAGAATGTAATCAATGCATTAAAAAGGAGAGGTAGATTAAATGAACATGCTTTGATGTAGATTTGCAAAATTTCATTTCACTAGACATCTAAGTAGACTTAGAAATAGTCATGGAATGTGATTCATGTAGTCTACTCCAAGTTTATTAGGTATGACATTATAAGATTTAGGCTGTTATTACCTATTATTATACACTTCTTACATTCTGCTGTTGTTGTGGACTAGCCAATAGTTGATTTAGCTTCACGTGTCACCAGAAAAGGGAAAGCAATCACCAGTGACAACGTTGACACAATTATAAAGTAGCAACCTATATTGACATAAGTACTAGATTGAAGGTTTATATGGCCCCTATTTGAGCCACATTAAAATTTGCATTCTCATTTTTCTGCTCATTTTCAACCACACATTTTTCAATAAAATAATATTTTCCATTACATCAATAACTTTTCATTCTTTTTCAACCACACATTCTCCATTAATCTACTATTCCAAAATACATTCTTTCAAAATAACGTGGCTCAAGCACACCCATATTTTGTGTAGATTGTTGAATGATCCCAACTTCATTTCCTCGAAAGGATTCCATGTGTAATATCTCTTTTATGGAGGCTCTTAGTCGGATGATGGACCGGGCTGTTCGTGGAGGTCTTTATTCAGGTTTAATGGTGGGGTCCCCTCAAGATCAACAGGTTTGGATCTCTCATCTGTTTTTTGCGGATGATACTTTGATTTTCTGTGATGCTGATCCGATCAAATTGGAGCATTTGCGATCTATTTTTCTGTGGTTTGAGGCTGTCTCTGGGGCTGAAGATTAATTTGGGTAAGTCTGAGATGGTTCCTGTGGGCGAGATGATACTTTGATTTTTTGTGCTGCTGATCCGATTAAAGTGGAGCATTTGCGAGCTGTTTTGCTATAGTTTGAGGCGGGTTCTGGGCGGAAGATTAATTTGGGTAAGTCTGAGATGGTTCCTGTGGGCGAGGTCCCTAATTTGGAGGACTTAACTCATATATTGGGTTGTCAAACTACGTATCTCCCTATGAAATATCTGGGGATGCCTTTGGGTTCTTCCTTTAAGGCCAAATCGATTTGAAATCCGATTATTGAGCGTATGGAGAAGCGCTTAGCAAGTTGGAAACGCCTTTATTTATCAAAAGGTGACTTTAATTAAGAGCACTCTATCTAGTTTATCCACCTACCTCTTATCGCTCTTCCCTATTCCGGTTGGGGTGGCACATCGCTTAGAGAGGGTATAGAGGCCCTTTCTTTGGTCCGGCATGGGCGAGGAGACAACGTTTCACTTAGTCTCGTGGTCTCAGGTTTGCAAGCCTTTCAGTATGGAGGGTTGGGGGTAAAGGACCTTCAACATTTCAATAAGGCTCTTTTATGCAAGTGGCCGTGGCGTTTTGGTATGGAGAGGAACGCTCTTTGGCGACAAGTGGTGGCTGCCAAATATGGCACCAACTGGGGGGGTTGGTGTACCAAGGAAGCGAGGGACTCTCATGGGGTGAGTCTATGGAAATTTATTCACCAAGGTTGGTCTTCGTTCTCAAAAAACTCGTATTATTTGGTAGGGGATGGATCTCGGGTGAAATTCCGGCATGATAGATGGTGTGGTGATGTGCCATTGAAGGAGGCTTATCCGGAGTTTTTCTCTATCGCTCTAGATAGAAATGTGTGAGTGGCTGCCCTCATGTCTCACACTAATGGTATGCTTCACTGGAATGTGCTCTTCACTCGGAATGTGCAGGATTGGGAGTTGGAATCCATCTCTTCTTTTATGGAGATCCTCTACTCAATTAAGGTGCAAGGTAGAGGGAATGATCTGATTAGTTGGGGTTTTTTGACTTCTACTCCTTTTACAGTTTAGAGGTGCTACTGCTCCTTGAGTTCCCCATATCCTACATCTTTCCCTTGGAGGTGTGTGTGGAGATCCAAGGTGCCTCCTCGAGTGGCTTTCTTTTCGTGGATTGCTACACTGGGGAAGATCTTGACTATTGATAACCTTCGCAAACGTGGCCTTATTTTGATTGATTGGTGTTGTTTATGTAGGGAGAGCGGGGAGAGTCATGACCATATTCTTCTGCACTGTAAGCTAGTTCGGGAGTTGTGGGATTTGGTGTTTGGGGTCCAGTGGGTCATGCCGAAAACAGTTTTTGATCTTCTATCATGTTGGAAGGGGTTTAGTGGTAGTAGCAGGACTTCCATGGTGTGGAGGGTTGTTCCCCACTGTGTTTTTTAGTGTGTTTGGAGGGAAAGAAATGTTAGACATTTCGAGGATATTGAGACCTCCACTTCGAAGCTGAAGAATAGTTTCTTTCAATTATTGTTTGAGTGGGTTAAGGGCTTGGGTATTCTTTCCAACAGCTCACCAGTAGAGTTGTTGGACCATTGTATTCTTTGACTACTTTGTACTTTAGTATAGTTCTAGTATACTAGGACCTTTNTTTGTCCTTTTGTATAGTTCTAGTATACTAGGACCTTTTTTAATATATAAGTTTCTTTACTTATAAAAAAAAAAAAAAAAAATCCTTTACTTTTTGGTGATATGTTAAAAACACCTTTTGCATGCAGCACTGTCAAGTTCATATTTTAATATTTTCTTTGATAATATTCGATCACTTGGGTAATTGAGATGCCTTGAAACTAATGCTTTTAGGTAGTTCAAAGAAGAATATTAATCGTATTCCAATTAAGTTGAGTACATGGAACTGCTAGTAAAAGAGATTGTAAATGCAAGAACTTTGATTCATTCATATGTTATACTCGATGTCATAAAATATCTCATGGCTTAGTGCGTATTTTGGGGGGAAATATTATCTAGTGCATTCAGAGTCTTCATATAATGGTGAAGAAGATGTTGGATTGATGTTGATTTAATTGCATTGTCATTTGAACATTCTGATTGAAATTATTGGGTAAAATAATTTATCACCTGTGCCTTTTATCCCAATCCTAATTGCATCCCCAAACTTTGAGCTTCAAATATCAATATAAAGATTTTATAATGGCTCACTTCTAGGAAATATGATTATCCACCATAAGTCACTTTTGTGGATGGCTTTGATTACCTGGTGTTGCTCAACTAGGAGGGTAGCATGTTTTGGGACACTGAAGATCTATTACAATGTAAAATACATATATAGTCCTATTTTGTGAAGGATAAAGGGGAAACTCTTGTTTCCTTTTTGGCGAATTTACGAATGGTTTTGTGATCTTGGAGGAGGTGAATGTACATTAAGGATGAAATATTTATTTATTTTGCTCTATATGCAGGAAGGGCAGAAGCAGTTCGTGAATGGTTGAGCTTTCACGGGAAGTGTAGTTGTTTTATCATGTTGTGCGTCCTTTTTCTTAGCATTGTCTGGCTTGAAACTCGGCATTTGCTCAGAAGTCAAATAAGTATCCGTGTTATTAGTTTTGTACGGAAGACACCTTTCGTATATTGCAATGTACTTGAGACATTGGCTTTCTAAACACTTTCGGAAATTGTGTTCGAGGGAGTTTAGTGTATCTTGTACTAGAAGACAAACTGAATCTAAACATTTTATATTGTGGGAGATCTTTGTTTGTGTTGATGACTAAATTTAATCGAGTAATTTTTATATCTTGAATCGTTTAAGCACGAGATGAAAATCAAATGCTCCCACTACTTCAACTACGCTTGATAGCTCAACGAGCGAACTCAAGGGCAAATCATACCAATGGCACTTGTCTATTTGAGCACTAGACAAATAAAGCATAACGGCTACCCAAGGATCAAAACATCTACAGATATCACATGGATAAGCAAATGCTGCCTGATACAAGGTGTGAGCAAACATGTTAATTACGAGGAAGGCTCTGTACAAAACACGTTTTACTATGATTGTGATAAAGGATCACAATCCTGCGATTCTTTTATAATTTGCAAGATCATAAACAAGATGGGTCAACATAGCCACATAAGACTAGATACAAGTTTGATTATTTTACTCAGTATACTATACCAAGCATGTTACAATTTTAAAGCCCATTTACATATTCACATTTTCACAGAGGCCAAGAAAGGCTCATCACACACTAATTCATAGCAAAGCACACTACACAAACACAATATGCTGCTGCTTCTCTATTCCTTGTCTGATTCACTTTCACTCGAGCTACTAGTACTAGCATCTTCCTTCTTAGCTGCGGCTGTCTCTACCTGCTTATAAGCTTTGGCCATTTCTTCAATAGGAACTAATGGTAGATAGCCAAATACACTACAACCTTTTGCTGTCATGTCCTCAACCAATTTGTTGTACTTCTCGGACAAGTATACAGTTGTTGGCACAGCCATTTGTGTCGCTCTATGCAAGGCTGGATAATGGTCAACTTTGTACCACACGATGACCAATTGGCTTATGGCAAAATGCTTGAACATCGTCCCAGAACAGGAAAGGGCAGCACCCAGACCACCAACCTTGGTTTCCTCTGCTAAATCATAGGCTATTTGAGATGCCTTCTTGATAAGAGATTGGGTTTTGCTCACTACCTTCTTGGCAAAAGGTGGCGCGTACTCTTCAAATTTGTAAGTTCCTTCATCCAACTTGCATGAGAAATGAATTACATTAGGCTGTGTGAAGTAACGAGAGAGTACCATTTGAATAGAGCATCCATAAAATGACCCGATATATAGAACATTATCAAGCACCCCAAAACCAATACATCAAACTACCCAAGGCTAACAACAATCGTATGAAAAGACCTTCAACTTCCAACAATATCAAGCAAATGTCTTGGATGCAGCACTCAATAGCACAGGACTGCACAATGGACAAAACACTTAATTTTCTTTCCTAACACTATCTAATATTGAGCCCGTTTGGCAGGACTTCTCTTTTACTTCTACTTCTTGTAAAATAACTTTATAATAAAACTACCTTAACCTAACTTCTTTTAAAAGTTCTTCTAATCATACAAAACGGTTTCAAAAAATTATTGAAATACGTTCAAAAACAATTTCTTAATGTAAAATACGTAGATGTTGCGCAAGAGAGTATTGTAAGTATTATGCCCTAAATCCAATCAACTTTGGATATATACACTTTTAATATATAATTAATGCATATTTATGCAAGATCTATTACTTAATTAAATTAATGTTTTAATAAATTAAATAATAGAATTCGTAGATTCAAATCTTGGTAATTTGTTAACCNAGAATTCGTAGATTCAAATCTTGGTAATTTGTTAACCATGAGGAGTTGTCATTATGAGATACAAATTACATATGACTAAATCTTAAATCATCAGTGGTCGTAAGTAATAACGAGATACGGATATCGTTATTACGCCTGCGTTCGGGAACCATTTTTTCAGCTGTAGAAGAAAATTAACCGTTACACAATAAAATGCTGACAAACTTGTAGGCCACTCCTTTGTACAACAGTAACCACTCCAATATGATTTGACATCTGTGCCCTTTTGCCTCACCGACACATTTGGAAAAGTAAATTTTTCGGAGGGGCAAAATTGGAAGAATTGTATATAAGTCAATTGTTGCAGGCTTTACTTACACAAACACTGTTCAAGATGTGAAAGACAAAATGCATTTTCTTGGCAAGAATGAGCACCAAACGCAGGCTAAAGAACAAAACATTTGAAACCCGCAGAGGAGATTCCACGTGGATAATTATCTGAGTGTCAATAGTTAATCTCTACCGTTCGGTAGTGAAATTTGTTATTTGACTTGAAGTCATCATAAAGCCTTTTATGAGGACAATTATATTTTGGTGATGTTGGATGTTGCTCTGCCAAGGGTCTCTAATACATCATTCGAGTATGTCAATAACCATATGAAGGTTGTGAATGATCAATAGAGGATTCCGCACTCTTAGATATTAAGAGACTATGATCTACATTTTATTCAATTAAGTTGACAACGAAATCTTTGGTCAATGTGTATTCATAAGTCAGAAAAGTTTTCGACTTATATTGACTTAATAGTGGAATGAAAGATATGATCGATAATTGAGATTGACACATATTCATAACTCATAATTAATCGAACATACTAACGAAAGGATTATAATGTCATAGTAAACGAACAAATTTGATAATGTCATACCACGTGACATTTCCTATCACATGCATTGCCTTGACACATTGCTGGATGTCAATATGGGACGACGAATGTGAAATAATGATAAATTAAAGGAGGTATTTTAATTTATCGATTTTGATTAGATCAAAATAATAATTCACATTGTTAGGTATCACAATCGAGAACCTGATGGATCACACAAAAAGGAGAACAAAAAAAATGAGATTCACCAATTAATTAAATAACAAGTGTTGTAGAATTAATTAATTGGATTGCCTATTAATATGCTGAATTAATTAATTTGATTAATTAATTCATGGACCAAATTTAATTAATTGGATTAATTAAATATTGGATCGAGTTAAATTTAAGAGACGGATCAAGCCTACTTAAACTTATATTAATAAGTAGGATTTCAGAAAAATAGAATAGAATATAATTCAGTATCTTTCTAGCATAAGAAAAAAGATCAAAATTTTCCCAATTCTTGGTCCCTGTGTGAATTTCCAATAGATGCTAGACAATTGGACAACTGTGAATTGGAATTTGTGGCCGTTCATGTTCCAAGATCAGCAAAAGAGTCTACAGAATTTATCAAACGAATTATTCTAATCACATTTTCTATTTAAACATAAAGCAGATCTGTGCGTTGCAGCGGTGAGAAGAAGAAACTTTCTAGGGTTTCCTTTCAATTTGGGTGATTTGGGGAAGGGTCCGGATTGCAATTTATGAAATTGCAAGGCATCGCCTGCAATTACACATCAAAGGGTCATTGTATAATTTTGAAAGAAATAGCCTTCTTGCAATTTGAGAAATTGATGAACTTGTTTACAATTTTAAAATATCATACTGCAATTTTGAAAAATGGTTTTGATGGCAATTTTAAATAGGGATTTAAAATTGTTTTGAAAATGGTTTTAAATTAGGTTTTAAAACGTTTGACCATAAAATTTCATTTTTGAACCCGTTTAAAATTATATTTAAAATTGATGATTTTTATATTTTCGTTAAAATTAAATTTTAGCTTAAATTTTATTTAAAAGTTTTATCCTAAATTTGACCCGTTTAAATTTTTTTTTTTTAAATTGACGATTTTTATATTTTCGTTAAAATTGGATTTTAACTTAAATATTAAACTTTGACCCTAAATTGAATTTTATTTTATTTATAAGTTTTATCCTAAATTAAAATGTTAATTCAATTGCAATTAGAGTCTAATTAAAATTTGATTTCAATTAAATTATTCACCATAATATATTCTCCAAATTATAGTTAGACTCTAATTTGACATTTAATTAGAATTTCATTTTAATTAACTTTACGGTCAGATACTCACCTCAGTGGCCCTGAGGGGACTCGAACTGGTGACTATTTTTCACCTGTAGCCATACTAAAGTCTATTCGAATTTTACTTGCAATAGCTGCATATCACGATTATGAGATATGACACAACCCCGAAATGTTTGATTTTATCAATAATGAAAATAAATAATGAGTTTACAAGAAGATAGTGGGAACGTTGTCGTATTCCTAATATTATATGTAGATGACATATTATTAATAGGAAACGACAAATCTATGTTTCAATTATTGAAATTATGGTTGTTAAATAATTTTTTTTGTAGGAGAAGCAATTTGATCTATAGAGATAGATCTAGAAAATTGCTTAACTCATCAATTTTATATGGAGAAAATGAACTGAGAGTTCATGGATAGAATGATGCTAACTTCTAGTCAGACTTGAATAATAGCACATCTCAAATAGGATAGCGGTTTACTCTTAAACGGTGTGTTGGAAAGGTTCCAAACAGGAAACAAACGTTGATTCAATAGTAAAAACCTTATACATCATTGTTTTAATAAGCAATAAAAGTTGTGGTCTGGATCAGGAAGTTCATCAATGAACTTGAAGTATTTCCTAATATTGTTGATCACATACTTCTGCATTGTATTAACAATAAAGCCATCGTACAAGTGAAGGAACTAAAGTCTCATTAATGATTTAAACATGTGTTAAGGCGGTATCATCTTATTTGAATGATAATACAATGAAATGAGTTGCAGATCCACTGACAAAGAGTTGTTGCAGCATAAACATGATCGTCAACACTCTTATGGTAAAAGATACATAAGTGATTAGATCTAGTACAAATGAGAGTTTGTAAGTGTTATGTCCTACATTATATCAACTTTGGACATAAACACTTTTAATATATAATTAATTCATATTTATGGCAAGATCTATTATTTAATTGAGTTAATGTTTTAATTAATTAAATAATAGAAACCGTAGATTCAAGTTTTGGTAATTTGTTAATTACAAGGAGTTGTGATTGTGAGGTACGAATTACGTATGACTGAATCTTAAATCATCCGTGATCGTAAGTAATAATGAGAAACGGATATCATTATTACAGATAGACCATCACGTGTGACATTTCTTACATGTGAAGTAGTTGATCCCACGAGCTGAAGTGTAGTGACACTTAAATGACCACGTAGATGTTTTGTTATAGAACAAAACATTGGAGACCCGCTGAGGAGATTCCACATGGATAACTATCTGAGTGTCAATAGTTAATCTCTAACATTCAGTAGTGAAATTGGTCATTTAATTTGAGATCATCATAGTGCCTTATAGGAGGACAGTCATACTTTGGTGATGTTCGATGTTGCTCCGCCAAAGGTCGTTAATACAACATCATTCGGGTATGTCAATAATCATATGAAAGTTGTGAATGATCAATAGAGGATTCGTTACTCTTAAATAGTAAGAGATTATGATTTACATTTCATTCAGTTAAGTTAATAATAAAATGCTTGGCCAAAGTGTACTCATAAGTCAGAAAGAATTTTCGACTTATATTGACTTAATAGTGGGATGAAAGATATGATCGATAATTGAGATTGACACATATCCATATCTCGTAATTGATCGAATCATATTGACGAAAGGATTGTATTTTCTTGGTAAATGAACAACTTTGATTTTGTCATACAACGTGACAATTCTAATCACATGTATTATCTTCACACATTGCTAGATGTCAATCTAAGATGACAATGTGAATTGGTGTTAAATTAAAGGGGTATTTTAATTTATCGATTTTGATTAGATCAAAAAAATAATTCACGTCATTAAGTATCGTGATCTGGAACATGATGGGTCACACACAAAGAGAGAACCAGAAAAATGAGATTCAACAATTAATTAACAAGTGTTGTACAATTAATTAAATGAGTTGCTGTTAATAAGCCCAAATTAATTAATTAGATTAATTAATTCATTGACCAAATTTAATTAATTGAATTAGTTAAACAATGGACCGAGTTAAGTTTAAAAGACGGATCAAGCCCACTTAGACTTATATTAATAAGTTATTAGGATTTCAAAAAATTATAATAGAACATAATTCATTATCTTGCTAGCACAAGAAAAAAGAAACCATAATTCTCTCATTTTTGTTCCCTGTGTGGATTTACATTTGAGGCTGGATAATTGGACAACTGTGGATTACAGTTCGTGACTGTTCATATTCCAATATCAGCAAATGAGT